GAAGGGCTCACCACCTTTCATGTGGGTGTAAAAAAACATTTCTGTGTGGATCTTATTGAAAATCAATCAAAGGCACAAAAAAGGTAAATTTGCTGTTCCCAAAGACTCTCAAGCTTTGAAAGTCACCAAACTTTGATGGCCATTTTTCTCGCTAATTTTACCTCTGACACCAGGCGACCACCACCTTCTTCTATCACAATTATCTCAACCTCTGCTTACAATAGATGTCTCTCCCTCCCCCATCCCCACCCCCACCCCAGTAGCACAGCAAATGAACATGATTTGAGATGATGCCAATAACTCTGCATGCCCAAAAGTTGTTGAACGTCTGATTTTCCTCTGTCGTCACGCTTTTCATTTCCCTCTCATCCTCCAGTGGTCAAGACCTCCACAAGCTCTTGTCCACGCTATGCTTTCTCCTCAATGACCCATCGAAACTGGAGCTGTACGATGCCATGAGGTAAACTCTGGGCTATGTATGTCCACTGGCTGGTGGGTAGGGGTGTGCCACTCCAGTGTTCTGAACCTGAGTCCAGGAAATTAAATGTATTACTCAAGTGAGCACTAGAGTCCTTGGATTCTAAGCGCTGACTCGTTGTCTAACTTTACTTGCTAATGTCTTACTTTAATTTTAACAATTTATTGATAATAACAATAATACAAAATTAGAAAAGGAAATATTAATAACAGTAAAAACAACAAACTAAAATATGAAATTTACTGTGATGATTGGGTGCCACAGAAAAATGAGAGAAAAAAAAAATACTATACAGCAACCAAAAAATCTGATGAAAAGTTCAACTTTGTTTCTACTTTAGCTCTTTATTGGGTGAAAATAGCAAGTACAATAGTCTCCGCCTAAGATCCCGGTGCTCGGGAGCAAGGAAAATTCCGGGTCTTGGGCGAAGGGGATCTTAGCCAATGCTCTTAGGGCAGAATCTACGGTGACCAATGTTCAGGCACACAACTGGTAAAATGGTTTCCCTTCCCTCTGAGATGAAGTGACGTGACCCGTAGGTGGGTTTTGGACTTACGACGAACAAAGAGTGATCAACCTTGATGACCAATCACAGTGGCATGAGGCATACCATCTTCACTTATTATCCGATCTTGAGTCTCTAGGTCTACGCTTATCCAGTTTCCCCTCCTTTTTACATGTCCAAAATGTAAAGCTTTACCGGTGGCAAGGGCTCAAAGGGTTAAGTGAACCGGGATCGTAAGCGGGGGGATCTTAGGGGATGTCGACTGTACTTGAATAATTACTCAATACTCGGAGGTTTTGGACTTGAGCAAGTACTTACGTATTTTCAAAAATCCAGTCAAGTGAAGACTCACAGAATCTGAGCACTTGAGTGAACTCAAGTCCTTGTGCACCCCTACTGGTGGGTACTTTTACTGTGTGGTCTTACTGTGTGGTCTTACTGTGTGGTCTTACTGTGTGGTCTTACTGTGTGGTCTTACTGTGTGGTTTTACTGTGTGGTCTTACTGTGTGGTCTTACTGTGTGGTATAACTGTGTGGTCTTACTGTGTGGGTCATGCCAGATGTTTGTGGCGGGGATTTTTTTTATTTTTTTTCATTTGGTCATAATATGTCATAGTAGCTCACACAATCTGCTGACCTTTGAACAAACAGGGTGTGACAGAGGTGGGGTATGTCCCAGACCTTTGAACAAACAGGGTGTGACAGAGGTGGGGTATGTTCCAGACCTCTGAACAAACAGGGTGTGACAGAGGTGGGGTATGTTCCAGACCTCTGAACAAACAGGGTGTGACAGAGGTGGGGTATGTTCCAGACAGAAAGCAAAGTTCTGAAAATATTTAAGGTTATGATAATCTCTGCTAGTCTCTCAATCCCCAACCCTTTTTATTCCTAGAGATTTCAAGTCTTTGTGATATTTCGTTCTTATTGCAGAAAGACTTGAAAAAGGTAGACGTTGCCTTTGAGGTACTTAACTCTTATAAGTCGTAGGCCTTTTCCTGGTTTTGTTGACGCACATTTAACCCCCTGCTACAAAGTAAACTAAAAGTCCACTGCTGGTGCGCCGTGAAAAGGAAGTCAAAAGGAGAGGCATGGTCTCGAAAGAAGTTAATCTTTTTTTAAAGTGAAGTTAAACAAGAACAAATCAACTGCTTAGTGTCAGACTCTGCCATAGGCCATTTACTTAAAAAGTAAAGTATGACAGTCTCTCTCTGATCAGTCTCAATGGCGCTAACTGATACTTACAACGGGATGCCCTTGACCTTTCAGGCCCCTGATCCTCCTGCGTCACCAGCTGTTGTACAGCTTACGTGTGCCAGGTACCCCTGGGCTCAAACTCAGGACCGTCCGACTACAACGCCGTACGGGAGAGAACCTGGGCTTCTGTGTCAAAGGAGGTCAGTATGGGACAGGCACTGGTCACTGTGGGACATACACATTTGTATACAAAAATCTACAGCGGGTGGTTGGCGAGTGCTCTGGTGTGGTTTGCTCTTTCTTTCCCATGTAACATCTATTTTTGTTTTGTTTCCTCCTTTTTTTTGTGTGTTTGCTACTCTATAATACCTCTAATCTTTGACACCTATATGACCTAATTGTGTTGCAAGTGCTGTAAGACTTTTACAAAAACTAAACCAAAGAAAGGAGAAAGAGAGAGACAGAGAGCGGGGGGGAGGGGGGTATCACTGTGATACCTTTGAGTACTTTTAGTGCCATATTTTTAAAACGCACTGTTTTTGTAGTCTAATATTTTATGCTGTAACAGTATCTTTTATTTCCTTGGGATCGTTTACTGTGTTTTATTTGATCCATTCTTCTGAAACTGTTTTCCTGAATTGTCACTGTACACATTTTCTTTTGTCTTTATATCTGTATTCATGTACCTATACATTGATAGACAAAATGGTTTTATTTTACATACCGGTACCCTAGTGCGTAAATGCTGCATGTATTTTTAAGCCTTTGTAGGCTATTCAAGCACATTGAGCTTTGTAAACTATAGAAATACGCTATATAAATGCCATTTAGTACTATTATTATTATCAAAAGTGACAACGTTGTTTTCCCTTTCTTGCGTTCAGGTTACGAGCACGGTGTGGGCATTTTTGTCACCGATGTGACACCTGGGAGCCAGGCTGACAGGCAAGGCCTTACGGTAAGTTCACATTCCCATGAGAAGGTTGAAGGATATCATGGCTATTGCAAGCAGTCAATTAAGTCCAGATTTGGAAAATGATAGATTTTTACGTCCTCCCAAAGCTCTATTGGAGATGTCTCTTTCATCATCACCAAAATGCAGTTTGATGCTATGGGCAAGGCTTGCAACTTTCTTGCTTTTCATAATTCCTGATAGGAACAACATAACAAGAACTATTTTCTTTGTGTCTGGTGTAAAAAATACCCAAACGGACTGACGATATGCTCACATGCCCACAACAAGGCATTAGGGTCCTCTCGTGACAAAGCCTATAGGTAAGCTCGTGGGTGGTTGGCGGATGCTCTGGTGTGGTTTGCTTCTTCTTTCCTGTCAAACATCTATCGTCCTTCTTTTTTATGTTTGTTACTCTCTTGTAACACCTCTACTCTTCTGGCACTCATATGACCTTATGCAGTTGCGAGCGCCTTAAAATCTCTGCTAAAACTAAACTAAAAGGTAAGCTCACATTCCCATTAGAAGGCTTAGAGCTAAGGGTACGTTTACACTTCAATGACAAGGTTTAAGTGTAAGTTAATCCTCTCATGACAAAGCCTAAGTGTTTGTTCAACTATTATCTATTTGTGGTGGCCGAAATTTGCTATTCAAAAGGCTTTTTAATGGCTGTATCGATTGACATGCGGTTTTCGCCAAAAGATTCTTTAAAATATTCTCCAGATCAAGACGCCTTTCGTTTTTTCTGTTTTGAGACAGTGTTACTGCAAAAAGCTAAATTTCTTTATTTCGCCAATCGCTTTTGTAGGCCGACGCTTCTGTCTCTGTAATTTTAGAAAAGGAGGTTTCTGTTCACTAACCGTGCGCACTTTTTGAGAGTATAGATCGAAACCTTCTAATTTTTGCATCTAAGATTTATTGCTCCGTTCCAGTAGAATGTAAATATCATAAGCCAATGACTTTCGGCTGACGTTAATGCACTGATCATTCCTTTCATCGAAAGGGGGCCCAGCTAGTATACCCATATGATGGCTTAAGGGTAAATTCACACTCTGGTGTTGAGGTCTAAAGGTATGTTCACCGTTTCATGAGTGGCTGTCATAGACAAGTGGATGTGGATGTCATAGACAGTGTCGTTATAATGTAGAAAAAACGTACAAGGGGGAAATTGGAATGGCTATTTGTATAGGTGGTTGTCATATACAGGTGACTGTTAGAGCAGGTTTGACTCCCTATGAAGTTTTCGTTTTCTCCTGGGAATAATTATGGCTATACTATAGTGAAGTTCTGATGATACAAATGTTAAACCAAGAGTGTGCAACAGGCGGCATGCTGGACAAAATCTGGCCAGCTAGAATGGTCTGTGTGATCCTTGCTAACTGTTTTTATATGTAGAACTCAATACACTAGTTGTAATAAGACTACTTACTTTTACGGTAATTGGGCCTTAAGCGTCTGTGTTGAAGCAGTAGGTGCTTTGCAGTCGCGCACAGAAGACCGAAGTTCAGTTCTTGAGCAAAGAGAAATTATTATTCAGTTTTTTGGTTTTCCTGCTGAGATGTAGCCCTCTCCGTCTGCGTTGGTCCAGACAGGCAGGATAGGAAGTCTGCCTATTTTATGATGTAAATTGTGTTGATGGGGTGCAAAAAGACCCATTTGGCGCTCATATGACCTTATGCAGTTGCAAGCGCTGTAAAACCTCTACTAAAACAAAACAAAAAACCCAAAAAACATACATAGTAACAACTCCCCCTCCCCTGAATTATATTGTACCAATCTTTAGAATTGGCCGTGGATAAGAAATGTTGCGTACCCCTGGCAGACATTGAGAGTTGAAGAACAAACCAGTGTGGACTGGCAGTTCTTGGAAATTTTAAAAAGTGTGGACTGGCAGTTCTTGGAAATTTTAAAAAGTGTGGACTGGCAGTTCTTGGAAATTTTAAAAAGTGTGGACTGGCAGTTCTTGGAAATTTTAAAAAGTCACTAGTCTATCAGTATTGTGTGTTACTAGTCTGTCAGTATGGTGTGTTACTAGTCTGTCAGTATGGTGTGTTACTAGTCTGTCAGTATGGTGTGTTACTAGTCTATCAGTATGGTGTGTTACTAGTCTGTCAGTATGGTGTGTTACTAGTGTATCTGTATGGTGTGTTACTAGTCTATCAGTATGGTGTTTAGCTGGCTGGAGGTGGAGAAGATCACCCCAGTGGGAGGCCCTGCTTGCTAGGATTGAACAGGCCAATGATGATGATGGTGTATTTGAAGATGGCATGGGCTAGTTTGAAGGTGAGAAACAGTATTCGCTTCGCTTTGTCCCAGAAACTGTCAGAGTGGACAAAATCTGGTACAAAATCAATAAAGTGTTGGCGAAATCAATCTCTGTGTTCGGAAAACTGCCAATGTCAGCATGGTTTGGTGAATATCCTGTTCACCAAAGAGTCAGCGTTAGGCTTTTCTGATGTTTTGTCAAGGGAGTGCAAAATAAAAAACATTTTGTTAATATGAGAAAGCGTGTCTGTTCATTAAAAAAATATTTTTAATGGGAAGAAAGTATCATGATAAAAAATTTGCTGTTTGTTTATAAGAAAGATTCTCTCGATGAAAGATTTGTTATTCATTGATAAGAAAGAGATTCTCTTGATTTGTGGTTCATTGATGAGAAAGAGATTCTCTTGATTTGTGGTTCATTGATGAGAAAGAGATTCTCTTGATTTGTGGTTCATTGATGAGAAAGAGATTCTCTTGACTACAAATTTGTTAATAATTTTCTGTTCCTGTGATTCCAGGTTGGAGACGAAATCGTACGTGTGAATGGATTCACAATATCTGAGGCCATCCATGACGATGTGCTCAACTTAATTCGCATGCGCGAAGACATCATCCTCAAGGTCACATGTGAGTTACGGTTTAGTTTTTTGTCTAATCAGTGTTGCAGTCTTCATTCTTACGGGGTGGTTTTGGGGTGTCACAAGCTATTTTAAAAATATGGATAACTATCTTCTTTCTTAGTGGGTGGATGAAGGGCACCTTTGGTTAGTTTCAATTCTTTTATTGCCCTATGTTGTTTCCCTACCTGTTTATTTTCTTTTTTTCCCTGGCACTAAATGGCTTCTTTTTATGTCACTGAGGCCGTGAAGGCCGACCTGGGTCACCCCTAAACATTGCTGGCTAAAGGGGCTCGGGTGAAACTGTAACTGGCCTAGCAAGCCGACGGCGGATAAGTCATGCTACAAAAAAAACAAAGGAGAATACAGGGACAGATTCAAACGGAAAAAGACCAGGGAAAGTAAATGGACAGCAACCTAAAAAAGGATTAAAATAGGCACATGGAATGTCAGCAAACTTGGAGACAAAGAACCAGAAATAGTGAATTTCATGGAAAGAAAGAAAATAGCAATCATGGGCTTGTCAGACATAAGGAAGCGAGGCAACCACAGCAAGCTGACCCATAAAGGCTACCTCCTGATCTGGAGCGGAACACCTGAAAATGAGAGAGCCAAACATGGTGTAGCTTTCATCATACACCCAGCCAAAATGGAAACAATCTATGAAATCAACCAGATCTCAGAGAGAATATTGAG